GCGCAAACACAGCCATGAGCGGCTGCCGCGTCTTCATCGGGAGGCTGAACCCGGCCGCCAGGGAGAAGGATGTGGAGAGGTTTTTCAAGGGGTACGGCCGCATCCGCGACATCGACCTGAAGAGGGGTTTCGGCTTCGTGGTGAGTGCGCCCCCTCTCCCTTCCCCACTCCCTTGGTGCTCGCTCGCGTTTGAGGTTTATGAAGCTCTATCGAAAGAAAATCATTAACGTGCTCACCAAGGCACACCACGTAGCAAATCAGCATCTGCTCGTTCATTGGAATGTAATTGCTTGGTTTTATTGTCTTGGTTGTGCAGGAGTTTGAGGATCCGAGGGATGCAGATGATGCTGTTTATGAATTGGATGGAAAAGAACTTTGCAGTGAAAGGTGAGATGCCTTATTTCGTGGCTATACAACCTTGGGGGGGATAAGGGTTGTATAAGTAAATTTGTAAAAGTCAATTTCAGTTTGAATAGTGTTATCAGTATTGGTCAAACTATTTTGGTTTTGTTTGCTTTGTCTTTGTCGTAAGAATTACAACCATGTACCAAAGAAGAAATATATAAAAGCACGTGTTTTGTTATGTGTTTCTTTTCACAGGGTGACCATTGAGCATGCCAGAGCACGCTCGAGGGGCAGAGGCAGAGGGAGGTACTCTGACCGGTTCAGTAGCCGTCGCCCGCGCAGTGACAGGAGGTAAGTGCAGCTTAAAAAAAGAATGGTTTGGGCTCAGCCCAGAGAATGTGAGCTGCAATGAGCTATTAAAAGGTGTTATTTGCCTTTGAAGTCATTTGTTGTGGCAGCAGGATAGTGAAGATTACAGAACTTCTCAGATATGCCTGTCATCCTTACGCTTCCTCCCTTAAGTACTTAATGCCTGCCCTAGATTGCTGGGGCCATTACATAGCTTAGGTTATAGTACTAATTATGATATGCCGATACTAGCTCTTGCAGCCCTCGTTAATATTAGCTTGGTTGTATTGTATTTACTGATAGAACTCAGAATTGTTTGTTTCAAAACAGAAACGCCCCACCTCTAAGAACAGAAAATCGCCTCATAGTGGAAAATTTGTCTTCCCGTGTCAGCTGGCAGGTTTGTTGAAACATGATTAACTATTTTGACTTCATTTAATGGGTATGTAATGTAATGTAATTATTTTGGAAAACAATTAATTAAATTAAAACCTAATTTATTAAAATGTTTATGTAATTAATATGATTTTTAGTAACGTAACTTAAATATTTTTATGAAAGCTAGTTAATGTTAATTCATAATAATAATACATTTATATGTTTGAGGATATATATTTATTTTTTTCTTGTTTTTAAAATCCATTTTAACCACATATTAAACCCTTTATTTGCCAGCCTATCTGTGTCGTTGGCCTTATGACGAGGAGTGCCTGTGGGTTATCCTAATCGTTCTGTCTTGGTCACTCTTGGTCGGGCCTGGTTGACTTTCCAGTCAGCTCCTACAATGTCACTTGGCCACCTCTAGATCTGTGTTTGCCGGTCTAGACGTAATCGATGCACTCCTTAAAGTGCCACATTGCAGCGGTCCCAGAGCGTTAACGAGATCTGATTCCTAAGTTGAGAGCTGTTCTTCCTGTAACGCTTCCGAATAACGAGGTCCTGGTCGAAAAGAGTTGAAAGATTGGAAATTAGGTGGTCGTTGGAATCCTGATCGCAGTAAAGTGGTCCTTGGTGCCATCAAGCATAGAGAATGGATCCATCCATAGTCTCCTGATAGGGAGGGCAGTGCGATTAATGGCTTCCATCGACTGGGTAGTGTTCGGCAAGTGGGTGGCGAAGAGCCAGTCGGGCATATGTCATGACGGTATCTCCGGTCGCTTAATGCAGTTTGCTGCTTGGCTAGCCTAGGGAAATGTTTATAAAGGTAAAGTAAACTATATTTTTAATGACATATGGGGCACAAAATAATTGGTGTTATGTAAATGTAATTTTGTATTCGTATAAGACTTGTAATGTAAATGGAGACTGAAATAGTCCAAAAAATATATGGGTAGCATTTCAAAGTCAATTCAGTTGATATAAAAATGTGCTTTTTATTTCTTTTTTCTCTCTCTTTCTTTCTCTTTGCTACTTAAACTATAAAATCATTTTAGACTAATACTTACCTTAATGTTAAGACTCTTTTATTAGCATTTTGCTTAAAGCAATATGCTTTTCTCATTTATTTCGTGCCCTGATACAGATCATGATACAGATAATGCAGTTTTGATTGCAAGTGTGGCAGTTGCCATGTTTGTGATTTATCTAACAACTTCTCTTTCAGTAGTCATAAGTTTCTTTTGTTTGCTTTAAGCTACTTTTGTATAAGTAAACGTTCATTTCACTTCTGTGCGTAACAAAAGTGGTCTTGTGTTAGGATCTCAAAGACTTCATGAGGCAAGCCGGGGAAGTAACCTTTGCAGATGCACACAGACCTAAGTTAAATGAAGGGTAAGCCTATCAAGTGATCTCTTGAAAGCTGTAGATTAACCTGTATGTGTAATGTTTGGGGAGGGAAGCTGGCTACTTTTCAGTGTCAGCAGCTGTTCATGGCTTAATTTAGCTACCCTTTGAAAATGTACATAGGAAATGTTTGGGGAGGGGAATTTTTCATGCTTCAGTGATGACAAAGGATAATTACACTGAGCAGTGTAGGTTTTGGGGTTTTGTTTGGTTGTTTTTTTCCCACTGTAAATTTTGCTTTTATTGGTAAGTACAACCTGTAATAGTGAGCTTTGTTTGTTTGTTTGTTATTTTTTTCCATAGGGTGGTTGAATTTGCCTCTTACAGTGATTTAAAGAATGCTATCGAAAAGCTTTCTGGTAAAGAAATTAATGGAAGGAAAATCAAACTAATTGAAGGCAGCAAAAGGCACAGGTACGGATTTTTACTCTTAATAATGCTTAAACATTCAGTGAGGACCTTTGGAGTCAGCGTTGAGGCAGCCGAGCTGGAGGGCTGCGGAGTGCCTGCCTGGGGCCGTGGGGTTCGTGGCTGGCACTGAGTGGTGCTCCCCGTTGGCTCCTCAGTAGGTCCCGGAGCAGGTCACGGTCACGCAGCAGGAGCTCCTCTGGCTCGCGCAGCCGCTCTCGTTCCCGCAGCCGCAAGTCCTACAGCCGGTCACGCAGCAGGAGCCGCAGCAAGTCGCGGTCAGTCAGCAGATCTCCACTGCCCAGCAAGAGCCAGAAACGGGCTTCTTCCAGCAGATCCAAATCTCCATCATCCGTAGACCGGCAGAGGTCTAGATCGAGGTCCAGATCTCTTGATAGTGGCAACTGAACTATAAATAACTTGCCTGGTGGGCCCTTTTTTAAACCATACTTGCTAAAACTTGTGGTAAGTATGTGACTTTCTGTGGGAAAGGGTTTGGATGGGGAGAGGGGAGGGAAAGGGGAACTTTGTAGATGTGGACCATGGTGGGAAGGGTTATTGACTAATTGTATTAAATGTTTTTGATAACCCTTTTCTTGCTCACATTTTTTGTGAATGTCTGAAGTGTATAGTTTGTGTATATTGGCAGAGCTCTTTATAACTAAACCAGACAAAATTTTTTGTACTCTTAAGTCATCTGAACACTTAATTCTCAGTATATTCAACTGTGAATAGCAACTAAAAGCATTAATGTCTCAGACTAATAGTTTTAGACATCTAAGAGAGCTCTATATGTGTTGTACATAAAGCTTTATTTCAGAGGGTATTTTTTTGTGCTTTTGAGACATTGTTTCAGCTATAGGTCAGCAGATTAAGTGCCGGTCGGTACTGGTAATAAAACTTTATTTTAAAATATTTTCATTTAATAAGACTTGCACTACACTAAGAAAATGCCCATTTCACTGCCCTGTGGTAATAATATTCTAAAAAGCACTCTTATTTCTTGATACCTAAGAATAAAATAGTTCAAATAAAGTATAAAGAAACATTTCTGCTTCTAGTTTGTTTCTTGTTGTTAATAAAGTGGTTGTGACTGTGTTAAAATGTTTCCTAAAGGTGGAGCTCTGCCAAAGTGACAACGGTTTTGGACAGGGATGAGAATTAGCATCCTTTTAAATACATTGTGTGATGTCCGTGGATGTCTCTGTGTTCTGAAATAAGAACATGGATAATCAGGCTGTCATAGTTCATAGCAAAAAGTGGAGTGGATGAGTCATTTAGCTTTTAATGACTTGGGATAATAAGTATGGAGTGTTAAAGACATGTAGTCAGCATTCTTCCTTAGTGTATTTGTGCATGTTTGTATGAGAACACTGAAGTGTCCATAAACCATTTTTGTGAGCATTAGTCCTCATTCTGGGGGAAGAGGGATTTTTAAGTCGCTGGGTGGGGGTAATGCAGTAGTAGTACCATAAGGGGTCTATGTTTTAGTGTTTGTGCCTTCCAGTTTCAGCAGTTCTCGGCAGTCCCTGTATTTCTCAAGCCCTCCCCCACAAGAACTTAAGAATTAATTTTTTTAAATAATGTGTTTTCTTATAAAGTGCTTTACAAAGCTGTTCTAGAAATCTGTAGAAACCTTTAAAAAGATCTTTGTAGCCTAGGCTCAGATTTGGATAGATCGTGGGAAGTGCAAGGTGGTTCCTCTGGGAGCAAGGTCTGGCCTTGTGGGAGTTTGTGTGTTAGGGCTGCAGAGGCCATTCTCCCTGCTGCTGCAGAGTTCTTGGGTGCCAGGCTCAGGAGGGAGGAGGAGCTCTTGTACTGCGTGGGTCTGTCTGGTGAGGTGGCACTCAGGCACTCCTGAGAGCAGGCCTGGGAAGGGGGTAGGATCCACAGTTAACTGGGTTGTTACCACTCAGCTTTGGGGAATGGGAGGCTTCATTCTCAGAGCCTTAGTGGTGCAGATGTTCATCCCAAGAGGTGTCTATTAAGAGCGCTCTAACGTGCAGGGGTAAAGATAGCATTCACACTCATCAGGGTTGGAAGCTCAGCTGTGTAGAGATCTTGAGTCGATCATCCTAATTTGGATGATGATGGGCATCAGTGTCCAAGTGGGACTTGGCTTCCACTGGAGCCCAAGTGGCTGAAAGCACTTGGATGGGATGAAAGGCATCACAGACTTCTTGCATTATCCCTGGGGAGCTGGCTCTTGTAATGATGAGCTTCCTGTCAAATTCCCAGGCCTTGCAGTGTGGAGGCTTATGTTGATTCCTGGCATAAGAAATGATGCTGTTTATTTATTGTAGGTTCTTGGTACAAGCCAGTTTATCCTTAATTAAGATGAACTCCTTTGGGTTACAAGGCATAGCCTGGACATGGGAGATGTTGAGTCTTTTCTGGTACTGTGTGTGTAGTGTGACCATACCTAGGTGGTGTCTAGAACAGGTGTGGTGTTGAGTTCAGTGACTGCTACAAAAGAAGGCATGCTTAAGGTTCATCTGGTGTTGGAGGTACAGCTTGCTGGGCCCAAACTCCGCACACAAAGGCAGTTTTGTAGCCATGATCATGATTTGTGTGGCCTCTGCTCTGGGGAATCAGTGGTACCATATAGAACCTGTTGGAGGATGGAAGAAACAACCACAACCAAGGCTTGCTTGGCTGTGCATTTGATCTCACTGGCTTCTGCATGGAGAAACTTCACAACTCATTCTGGGTCTGTTAAAGGAATTACATTAATCTGCAGTAATATTGTCAGGATCTGCTTCCATTATGTGCCAGCAGGACAGTTACAGGTAAGTGAAATTAAGAAAGAGAACTGATGTTGGCAGTGATTTACTTACAGGTAAAACTGGGACAGTCACTGGGCATGTTTTTCAGCTGTCCTAAAGGGTTGTCACAATGACTTTGAAGTCACTGAAAGTCTCCTCTCTGGTCTGACAGAGTGAGGCTTAGTCAGGAGCAAAGTCTCTGGGGAATAACCGTGGGTGCAGATGGCTCAGTGGCTGATGTGAAGTGAGCATATCGATAGGATTGACAGAACAGCTGGAGACCTATGAGCTGGCTGCAGAAGGTGGAGCTTGGAGGGTTGTGAGAGCAACTGCTGCAGAATCCATATATTGTTTTCCTGGTTTTCCGCTGTTTCTGCAATGTCTTAACACTGATTTCATTTCTTGAGCTCTTAATGTGTCCACACCTGCACAGATAATTTTTGCTGCATCTGAAGAAAGAGAAAAATGTGAGAATAGGCAATTCTGAAACCAGGTTAGGGAAAGATTGTGACAACTACAACTGGAATTACTGGGTAATTTAAAACAAGAGGATGGAACTTAGGATTCTTGCTGAAAGACTGAAGCCATTTTGCTTCCAGTCAATTATGACCCGGAGGCTGGAATACCACCTTTTTGTTACAGTCTTGCCAGCGCTTGTATGTCTGTTTCCAGTATCACCTGCTTTGCTCTGAACACACCCAAGGATCCAAGTGAGTGTTTTCCCCCCCATTAAGTTGTCCTCCAGCATAGCTGTAAGATGTGGTGAAGTGATCCTGAAGTAGCTCTGTAGCAGCTACTCCACTGCATCTCTCAAGGCAGTGGAGAAAAGTATTGGCAGCATCAGAGGGATGGTGGGTGGAGGATCTCATTCAGCCATCTGTGCAGTCAGCTGAGCTTGGAATTAGGGGCCTCCTGGAGTTGGAGACGAGTCTCTTTCACATCTGTACCAATATTGTATATATTTTAAAATGAAGTTTCAATCTCTTTATGTACTTTTTAATGTACTTTTCTAGCAAAAGATCCAAATGTTTTGTTCCTTTGACTGCAGTATTTGGCAGTTCTGTCCTCTCAGGGAATCACTTAACAGCTTGAAGCAAAGCTGGGATTCGTTGCATCAAAGAATATGTAATGTTTTTGTGTAGTTTTAGCCACACGCGAGCACCTCTGTTCTTTGCATGTGCTCAGTGCCAGTCATGACTTTTCACAGGGTATTCACTGTAGCCTAAATCACCAGACTCTGAAAACCTGAGCGCTGGTAGTTTTGATAGTATGTAGCTGTGTGAAACATCCTACTCATGCAAGAAGTCAATGGAATTTCTAAGGTGTTCAGTTACCTCCGAATTTTTGACTCTGATTTGAATTTAATGTGCTGGGTATGTAATCTCTAGTTAAAGAGTAACTGGATTCTGCCTTTATAAAGCAGGGATGCATTGGTAGTTGCATTGTAAGCGTGTATGGCTTAGCATGGAAAGTATAAGAACTAAAGGAGCAAAGCTATACTTGCCATTGGCTTGCTTTATTCTGTCATGGATCCGAAAGGCCAGGATGAGCAGAAATCCTTCTCCAAGCTGGAACAGCAAGTAGAGCAGTGGGAAGAAGTACAGGGGGCCAATGATCTCTGGGGCAAAGGCAACCTTGAGGATAGCTAAGCCAAGCTGTACATTCTGGCAGCCGGTTTCCATGCACACTGTCCGTCTGCACCTGAAGGAGAAAAGGTTAAATAGATTACAGATTTAAATTGCTTCCAAGCAACTGAAACAGAGCCCTGCCTACCTTGCTGGTGCACTTCCTGTGGCTAAAAGCTGCTCTGTCAGGAATAATACAGCAGTCCCAGAAGGTTTTGCCTCCTGCTCCATTGGCAATGGGCAGAGAGAGATCATGTTACAAATGTGAACTTTGTTCATAATGGCGTTGGAGGCCTTGTGTCCTGCTCTGGACTCTGCAGCTTCCTGCAGAGAAGTGATTTGAAGTGGTAAGAGTCCAACATACGAAGGTATAAAGACTAGCAGAATTCCTGCATGGTTTATGTAGCACAAGGAGGAGCAGGTTTTATATGTCAGGTTTTCATTCTAAATTCCTGGGACTGTAGCTGAGAATGCACTGATTTGAGGTAGTAACCAGCTGTGGAATAATCGTGTCACTTGGGGTTTGAGCTCTGTTGGTATTTCTCAGGTATTTTGCGTTTGGGTTTTTTCTTGGAACTAATTTTTTCCCCCAGCTTCATTACCAAGAGCAGAGGGTGGTAATATGTTTAGCAGGTCACTAGTGGCCTTAAGCCAAAACCATCCATCTACTTGTTCAGTGAACCTTCCATAGTGATCAGGTGCCTGTACTAAAAACACCTGCTTAGCTATTCCTCCCCTCTCAGCTAAGCCAAGAAGAGGTTAAAGTAATTTCTCTTCCCACTCAAGCTGTGGGAGTCACTGGCTTGGGACCAGCTTGTACTGTCTGGTTGTATTCCTAGATCCTATTTTGGGTGAATGGGGTCAGTGTTCTACTGAAGTATATTCCTAAAATTCACATTTTCACCATTGCTCCACAAAGCAGAGCTGCCAAATCTCTCTGTTCCTGATGAGAGAGAGAGGGGAGGGAGGTGTGGAAGAACATACCGGTCATCAAGCTTGAAGGCTGCAGAGACAGCATAGCCCAGCAGGAATCCAGTAAGGGGCATTAAGGCAGAAGTTCCCAGGAGAGGTGGTGACAAGACAACCATGATACAGCTTCCCATATTGGCCACAGACAGAGCAATTATAGCAGCAGATGACAGTAGAAGCATAACCATCCCTGCCTAAAGTAAAAGTGATTGAGGTGTGGACAAGAGAGAAATCCCCAGCAAAATTTGCCTCAGCTGTTATAAGCCGCTGTACCCAGTTCTCTGTCCATCACGTGAAGTACACAGAGGGCATAAGTGCCTTTCAGGTACATACTTGTTATCAGTAATCAACAAGAGACCATCCTGGGCTAGTACCAAGAGAGACCTTAAATAACCAAATACCTTTCTAGTCTATGTGCAAAATGTCTGCGCTCTCTGCACAAGCTGCTTGTTTCTCAGGCATTGCTACTTGTCTCCGTCCAGATCCCTTTGTGGCTTTAGTCTACCCAAGCAGGTGCTGAGGAAACCACTGTACTCACAGTTAGAGCCTAGCAGAGTTCTTGAGTTAGACAATGGTATATCTGGTTGTCTGGATTTCTGCTTTGCTGTTTAAATGCCTGATGTATAAAGGAGGCAGGGATGTGATTCCAGGCACTAAGTGGGCACTTGGTGATACAGTGGCTTCTGTTGGATAGGTATCTCAATGAATTAGGCAGCAATTTTGTGATTTGATTTTTGCCTTGTGCTGGACCTCTGAGAACAGTGGATTGGTTTTAATCTGTTTTGGAGTGGCTATTGTTTGGTTGGTTGGTTTTTATCTGGGTTCTGCTTTGGTAGCAGCAGTAGTTGGGGGCAGTGCCTATGATGTTCATTTGTGCTGATGTAGCAAAAAAACTTCCAAAGTTAAAACTGAAGCAAAAAGGGAATGTACGAAGTTGGCTACAAAGTGTTTGCCTGGAAAAGATGGATTATTTCTTCTTGGGCAACTTTTTTAACCATTAAAGTGGTGAAGCGCTTGTCTTGAGCTCTATCCTCAACCCTTTCATTGATTTGTGCCATGTCTTAGAGAAGTTAATATGTCTGTGATTCTATTTTTGAGAACTTCCTCAAGGCCCTTGATTGAAAGGCAGCTAGCACAGGATACTTCTTACCTTGGTGATAATGCCAGTATACTGTGGTTTCTTCTCATTCAAGATGATGCCAGTGGCACAGGGGATTAGCATCAGCACCAGGGAGGTGATTATTCCTTTGTAAGGTACCTTGCCCTCCAAATCACCCTCAGACAGTCCTCCCGAGTACAGGTACAGAAGCAGTGGCATTAATCCAATTGCCAGGACCATGGAGCATGCAGTCATTACAACACTGAGATGAAGAAACGACCCCTCACTAGAAGAACAACACTTTTTAAAAATGGAATATGCTAATCTGATTGCTTGCCTGGACAGATGATTTTAATAGAAGACTTTACCTTTTTCCCAACTTGTCTCTGAGATCTCCCCAACATCACTGTCAGATTGTAGAAGGATGTGATATGAATGGAGAAGGGAGAAGATGACTCAAGTTTCATGCTGACAAAGGGTACATACATACCCATGACAAGGGTACAGTTCACATTTCAGAAATTCACTACTGAGAGAAAAAGTAATACTTTGTATTTTTGTGCTGTATCTTGCTTATCACTGGGGTTTGTTGGAGAGTGGTGTTCTGCTAGTTCAGCATTTCTCACTGATGCAGCCTCTTCAGGCAGCATGATCAGTGCGCACAGAACTGCATGTATAGACACAGCATATATATATATATATATGCTCTATGTACTGCTATGTGGAGATGAAAACGTGTTCCTGCATCCCTGTTATCAACAACAGCATGCCAGTGATTCAGAGAAAGGTACAAAGTGCCATTGTAAAACAGGGACAAATGAACTTATTGAGCAATATGGGTGCTTTAAAAATGTTTTGGATTTAGTATTTCAGTCTTTGTCCAGCTTCTCAGGGCCTCCTAATGTTGATTAAATTAGTTTCTGAACCAGCCACATAACTAGATTAGCCTGGACAATGGACACGTACATAGCTTTCCTTACCTGAGGTTCATGTCCCCTCTCAGTGCCAGGCTAAAGATGTTGGAGAGGTTTCCCCCTGGGCAGCAGCCACAGATGAGGATGGCCAGGGATTCTGGGGTGCCCAGCTGGAAGAGCTTGCCCAATATGAATGCTGTCAAGGGCATGATGCTGTACTGAGCCAGTATGGCTATTGCCACACCTTTAGGTCTCCTGAGGTGAGCTGTGATCTTGGCTATCTCCATTGTACATCCCAGAGATACCATGATGACCAGGAGGACCACGATAAGGATTACATTCAGGGCTGTGTCCATAGCCTGCTGTCCAAATGCAAAGGGTGGTGCCAGACTGGTCAGGGAGGTGCTGCTCTGAATGCAACCTGGGCTCCAAAGTTCTGGGCTATCAAAAGCTCCCTTGGTCTCATTCATCCTGCTGAGGGCTTAGGAGATCTCTTCTTCTGTAAGTGGCTGGGAAGGTGTGGGAAGAATTGATTCAAAAGTCCAAATAATATTAAATTAATGGAAGCAAAACATGGGCTCTCTTTCAGGACACCACTCTTAGTCTTCAGCACCTGTTGAAACAGAAATCTGCATTTAGAGCAATCAGCTGTGAACCCCATTCATTTTGGAAATATCCTGTGCAGTTTGTGTATCTTCTGCTCTGGTCCTCCACTTCTTCCAGCATCCACCCTCACAATAAGACAGCTGGTGAGAGCAAGAGGAAGACAGCTCAAGGTGGATAGAGAAGACAGGTAAACATGGGCACTTCATACAAAGGAAAATGAACCAGAGCTCCTCTCATTCACAAGATACTGCTGAGGCCAGTACTTGAAAACATGATGTATCCAGGGTACTTTGTTTTTAATGAGATTATAAAATACTTATTCTTCTGGCCATAAGTAAAGCTTTTGATAGTGAAGTCTAGGAAGATATTACTATGCAGATGAGTAATTTCTCTAGTAAACTCTTAGGGGCCTTCAGATCTCTTTTCCTGATGTGTTAGGAATCTGCCACTGTCTAGAAATATTTTGGTTGCATATAGGAATTAATTCTCCAAGCCTTACCAACTCTGAAAATATTATTCCCTCCTTGGTGCTGAGGGAAAGTTCTGCATGGTAGGTACCGCAACTGACCTCTGCAGTGCAAGGCTGGGACCCATGGGCACAGCAGGGCTGCATTCAGGGCCTGGGGTGTTCTGCACTGTGATCCAGCTGGGGCTGCAGACATCAAACAGACACATCAGACACAAACTGTCCAAGCAAAGCCAAAGAGGCAGCTGTTCCCCAGCCCAGATTGGCACCTGCCCTGTGTTTTCAAGGCTGCACGGCATGACACGCACTCAGTGCTGGGGTGTGCAGGGAAGCAGGGCCTGGCAGCTGGTGCTGGGGCACAAAGAGGGACTGGAAAGGTGGTTGATCCTCCAGCTTCTGCAAGGGTGCCTGCTGCTCATCCTGCCACTGCTCCCTGTCCCTGGCTATAATAGGGGATGGGCTTCCCTACACCTGCCATGCCCTCAGGTGTCATACTTCCTGATCCCTCAGCAGGTTTTGCCTTCATCTAAGGCAGTTATTGCCCTCAGATTGACCTTAGTCATCCCCTAGGTCAAGGGAGGGACTCTAGAAAAGAGCTGATCATGTTAAACCAGAGCAAAATGGATGCTGTTACCTTAGTGCCAGTGGATGCAGCTGTAGGAAGCTTTGGCAGATCACCCGCTGCGCCATCCTTTCCTGGCTGGGCTTGGTGAGCTGTAATACTCTTCAGTCCTCCAGCTTCAAGAAAATCCCCCTTGGTAAAATCCCATCTTCTGCTTGCAGGGTATAAAGCCTGGGTCTAAAAGAGCCTCACAGAGAGGGAAGTTGCTGTTCTTTGGTAGTTGTACTACCAGGACTGAGGAAGGGATTTTAACTGGGGAGATTTGCTGCACTATGGCTGAGCTCTAATTCCTTTGCTGAAGGGCATTATGATGCTGCAGTAGCATGTCCATTGCTTCTGTTCATCTGGGAGCTCAGCAGGCTCAGCCTCTGCAGCCCTATTGCTCTGGAAACATTGCTGGAGGCAGGCAGGAATGTCAGAGCTACGTGTTCCTCCCCCCTTGCTCTTGCTTTGGTTGGGAACTTTGTTTTCCAGGCTGGCAGCCAGGCCGGAAAAGCACCAACAACAGCTCAGGAGGTCAGCACAGTCATCCCCATCGGGTGGGAAGGAGCAGTGCCTGTGGCTCTCAGTGGTCTGCACATCCATGCCCATGGCTTCTCCTACACCCTTGTGAGCACCACACTGCCCTTCTTGGGGACAAGGGGCCCTTCAGTAAGTCACAGATGGTGCCTTGAGCCCCCTGTGTCACTGTGGTGGCACAGTAGTGCCTTGGCTCACTGCTGGGCTCTGGATGAGCAGGTGGGGTGAGGAGCCCTGCAGCACTGTGTGCAGTTTGATTTTCTGTAGGCATCTGCAAGACTACCAGGCACAAGCAAGGGCTGCCCAAGTAGTACATGGGCAAGATCCATACGAATTAAGATAAACTGCAGGAGCAAAGCCCACAGCAATTCTTTATCCCTCACTTAAAGAGTTTTTCCCCTGTGAATCCCCAGAAATCTTCCTAAAGAAATGCTTGGTTTTCACCATGTTTGTCTTTCAGCTGAGTGCTGAATTTTGTAAGAAAGAATGAGTCAAGCCAAGCAATAAAGTGCTTATAAAGTGCTGCTACTCTTCCCCTAAACTCAGTGTAGCTCAGGTTTTTAAAATGACAATGTTCTAACATTCTCACCCTTTCTAGGACTGTAGAAAAATGTTTAAATGAGTCTAATAATTTAAAAAATGCCTGTTAGTTGTACATTGTTCGAGCATTCCTACTGGTTCCTGGTAGTTAATGGAGGAAACACCACAGGATTCAAGGAAGAGACTGGTTGAAGAAAGTATGATCGTTATTTCACCCTGGTTCATGCTTGTGCATCTAGTTATTTGACATGGGCACCAGAGCTGGAAGTTTGCATTGAAGTGTGGCCAAAGAGCTGCATCTCAGCTGTAAAGCCGCTGCTCTCGGTGGCAGGGCCTGGGTGGCGGGATGGCTGAGGGAAGGCTGGAGGAAGGAGCGCGCTCCCACTGCAGGGCAGCGGGCCCGGGAGTCGCACCTGGGGACCCGCCTTGCCTCAGAGGACGCGCTCGCCTTGCAGGAGCCGGCTGTTTAACCCCTGGGCAAAGCGTGCCCTTTTCGTGCTTCGGCCGCTCCCTGGAAGGGCTCAGCTCCTGAAAGGCAAACTCCCAGCTGCCCTTACAGCGCTGTCCGCCTTTCAGTGCGAGCTGAGGGGCGCTGCAGCAGCCGGGCCCGCGGGAGGGCACTGAGGGCTCAGGGGCGCTGCAGCAGCCGGGCGGGCTCCGCGCTGGCCCTGACCTGGCTCGGCTGCCGCGGCGGATCCTGCCCGGCCGGTGCCGCTGGAGGGCAGTGATCGCATGCCCGGAGAGCAGAGCGCGCCGCCCAAAACACACCGCCCAAAGACTGCTTAGATCGCCTTGACCGAGCACGATATTCCAAATTCAGGTACGGTCTAATGCAGCAGGCATCAAGCGATGCTTAGCAACCCGGAGGCATTGAAAGAAATGTTTAAAAAAGGAATAAGAAAATGTATACGACCTTGCAGACTTCCTGTTGAAGCTCAAAATGAACTGTGTTGAGGATTTTTTTTTTTTTTTGGAAGGAGTTAGCGCTTCATGCTTTTATAATGCAGCTTCATAAATTCCTCTGATATATACAAAATGGTTTATGTGCCCCTTTCAGTGGTGGGGGGTTGAAGTCCGATTTCTTAGTTTGCAGCTGAGATCATCATCTCTCCTGTGTTTTTACAGAATTTAACATAACTTGAGCTCAGTCTAGTGGCTGCCTAAAGGCCCTGTTTCAGCAGATGTGCCCAACAGGAGCAGTGGTGCTTGATTATGTCAGATTTCACACTGTTGGCCCACAAGACAAGGCATGTCTTTGACCTCTGATGCCCACGTTTTGCTCAGGTAAGATTTGTGAAAACAGTGGGAACTGTACTGTTATGTGCTTGGCTAATCAATTTGCTAATTTCTGTGTAATTTTGTAGCACTTTGCCCACCACAGCCCTGACCACATGTGGGCACTATGCTGGAGTGGGAATGGAGCAAGGAGAGCTTCTGCAGAGACAATCATGACCTGGCATGACTTGTTCCAGCTGTGACTGAGGGCTTTGTCCCAGCTGGAGACCCAGGGTGGTCTCGTTCATGTCAGCCAGAGCATGCCCCTGTTGGCCAGCAGTGAAAAAGAAGCTTGCTCTGATGCCTCTTCTCTGTCAGATTATTTTAAATTTGAGTTTGCTGGGCGGGTAGGCATTGTTTATACCCTGAGCAGTGTAGGAAACTCTGTAGAAAGAAATACTGCTCCCAAGAGCGTGAGATGCTTCAGTCATTTAGACCAACATTTCTATCATATCAGTACACTGAATCTCCCTCTGAATTTCTTGAGCAAGGCTTTCCACCCGCACTGGGAAATACCTAAGGGCCTTGGTGAGTGGGAAGGGTCTTACCCCATCCTTCCAGTGGTGACACTACCCTGAGGATTTTAAGTTATTCCAGACAGAGAGCTCTGGAGAAGGGTTATGTGTATGGTAGGCAAGCCCAGGTTGCCATGGATTTCTGGCTGCTGTGACAAATTTTCTGTTTCCCCAAGGAACCTGTAGCAGTGGCCAGTGTGATGATACGTGGCAAAGACTGTTTTCCCTTGGTGGGAAGCAAGCTGCAGGTCTGGGGCAGAAACCCCCCTGCTGATGGGTTGAGGGGAGCACTGGGGGCAACCCATCTTCCCAGATACAAAGGATGTCTCTGTTTTTCCTACCTCTGCCTGCAGGAAGGGTGTCAGTGTGGTGTTGAAGCAGGTTCACCTCAAGGGCAGATTTTTAATGAAAAACTCTATAGAAGGAAGTCTGTTCATATCTGTGATGCTTATTTTTCTCTGTAGGAAGAGATATTTTTATTGTCCATTGTAGTTATTTACTATGTAATTAGTGGGTCTAGTTAATCTTGAATGTTTCATTTCTTTAGGGACCAGATGTCAAAGACAGCTTCCAAAAAATTGGACAGCCTAAGTTTTCTTGCAACTTTGATAAAATGGTGTCAGCAGGACATTTCCCTAAACCTGTCTCCAGTCTGTATAGCCTTGACTATTGCTCTTATTTTCAGAGGAGAAATGAGCATTAACTACTCTTCTTTGACCTTTGCAGGGTGATAACTCTACAGAAAATGCTGTGTTCTCTCTGGGTCATGTGAGAATCCTCTTTGGCATGAGCTTCTGAGAGCTGCTGTGGGCATGCCCAGTCGTTTGCCTAACTTCCAGCTGTGGATGCTGTACACCTACAAAAGGCAATTGCACCTTCAGCTGAGGTGAGTATGCTTATTTTGTATCAAAGCTTATATTTTAAATAATTTCTTTCATTAGGTTGTGCTCAAGTTCTAACATCATAGCTTTAAACTGCTCAATTAGTGACATGCACTAGTCCTTCTTCCTACATAATGAATATGAAGATTTAATTCAGGAGATGGTTAGGAAAGTGGAAAGTAAGAAATAAGGTGCTCAGGAACAGCCACGGATTAATGAAAGAGTCCAAGACCCTCATGCACCCACAGGACACTCACTGGGGTGTCCTGAGTGTTCCAGCCCAGAGGAGCACCCCGAGTGGGCATGGAGGACAGCAGGCATTCACAAGGCAGCACCACAGCTAAGGGGCACCTGAAACCACCTCCCAAGGGATGTTTGAAGCCTGCATAGTCCTGGACTGCTGGCCAAGCTTTTGTGACCGTAATGCATCAGCAGAGAAATCATAAGTATCTGTGTGTTCAGCAGCCCTTGGATATGGGGACTTGTTTGTTTACAGTGTGAGCTCTGTGAGTGCTCAGTGCTGTGGCTATGCCACTGCTTTTTAGTTTGGATTGGTGCACTCCATTTACTTTGTTCCCTTTTTCTTCAACTTGTACTTGTTGTGACTGGACCCTGATTCAGTCTGAAGAGGCAGGATGTGCAGAGTTTATGGTCTTCACTTGCAAGGGAAGAGAGCTGGACTTATTTCCTTGCTTAGCATCACGCTGTAAGATGCAGGCGAGCCAATTTCTGCCTCTCTTCCACCATCCTGCTAAAACTCTGTTACTGCCTGCCTGGACAGAGCTATTGGCTTTTTTGTATGGTGCAGATGTGCCACAAAAATTTCAAGATTTGCTAATTTGTACTTTACCCATCTGCCATCTTGGCAGCTCCTTAGGCCCATGTGGGCTGAAGTCTGTCTAGAACAGCAGCCTCTGGGTGGCTGGATCCCAGTTTGGGTGCCAAACATATTCCTATTCCTCATGAATGTTTTGCTGACTTTCTGGGCTGGTGGAAATCTTGTGTGTTAGGCACTGCTGTGTTATTGGTATTTCTGTGGTCAGCCCCTGTGCTTGGGGCCTCTCCAGGCACCCAGGCAATGGCAAGCCGAACCCAGCAGTGCAGTGCTTTTGTCTTGCTTTAATTAATTAGAGTAGGACACAACTATTAGCAGCATGTTTTTGTTTCCATTTGTTCTGACAGCAACCAAAGGAAGCCATTATCTCTGCGAGAGGATGTTTCAGCAAGTGCTGTGGTAAATAAAGCTAACAGGATCAGTGCAAAGGAGAGGATCACATTGTCTTAAGGACAGCAATCAATAATCAGGCTGTTACATGCCAAATCCTTTCAAGAGGCATGATAGCGAGTTCACACTCAGATCAGCCTTTAATCTCGGAGGATCACTGACCTCTCTACTGGCTGATATATTTCCCACAGTCTACCCGCTCGGTAGACTGTGGGATGGTGCCCACCTGTCCCTTTTGTCCAAGACATTTCTGTATGGATCAGGCTAAAGATGGAAGGGCAGGTCTGGGCTTCACTCTGGATAATGCTTTGCAGCCTGCCCTGCTCCATGAGCAGCAGCAATGCTGAGCACACCATAGGGTCCTAGAAACTGTGTGCTCCTCTATCCCCTAAGGCAGAGAGAGCAGCTCAGTTTTAACTTTCCTGCAGTGCCTGGCTGCAAGCAAC